AGTCGCCAGCTGTAAAACAGGCTGTAAAGAGGAAGCTCAGGCATACCCCCAAAGCTGCCCTTTAGTCTTGAGATGTGCACTAAAGACGTCCACTACTGTGTGACATGTTCCACATGAATATATCAGACATCAAGTCTATCCTGTGTAAATGTGTCTCTGAGTCATGACTCTCTACAATGAGTGAGAAGCTCGAGTCCCGCTGGCTGTGTTGTTGTCAGGCTGTGTTTACATGGACGGGACGGCCGGCTTCTCCCCTTGTGTATAAAAATGTAAGGGCAGTATGAATTCAGCCTGGGAGGTCGAAAACAATCTGGAAAAGTCCGCTAAAAAGCTTGTTGTTGTAATCACAGGTAACTCAGGTGACTCAGTTTCTTCTCTGATGTGGATTTTTGTTGCAATAAAAAGGTTTTGTATCTTCCCCTCACCACAGGGGACGTTATGACCTTGTACTTTCCTTGAACTGCTTGTAGCTTTAACGTTTTATCGCATCATCTCGATGACAAAAGAGAAGAAAGATCTCCTTCAAATCAGATTCCATAGCTCTCAGGTCACTCATGCTGCTGCTACAGCTACAGTATGTGAGGAAGACTTTATTTTTTGCTGCTTGTGATCTCCGTCACCTTCAGAAACACAAGGCTCAGAGAGAGAGAGGGAAAGATTAACAACCAGGAGAAGAAGAACCTCCAACACATCCTCCTCTGCTCTGATATATTATTTATACTGGGGCTGGGCAGGGAGGCCCCTGGGACCTGGGACCCCTGACACACGCACACGCACACACACACACACACACACACACACACACACACACACACACACACACACACACACACACACACACACACACACACACACACACACAGACACACACAAACTGATAGTCCTGTGTGACTGCAGTCTGTCTCATCGCTGTATTCTCTTTCTCTTCATCGACCTCATCCACCGTTTATTTTAGTCACAGCGACACACACACACACGCACACACACACACACTCTCACTGTAACACACACACACACACACACACACACACACACACACACACACACAGACTCTGACTGTAACACGCATGCCGCTTTGTTAAATGATTTATAACATCGGGTCGTCTGAGAGCTCAGTTCAGCCTGCAGCCTCTTGTGCGGGTGTGCCATGTGCAGTGGGCGGGGCCAGAGAGGCTGGCAGCATCACCTGAGGACGATGAGCTGCTCTCTCTTTCTCTCTTTGAAGAAGTGCAGATTTTTATTATTCAGCAAGAGAGCAACACAAAGTTTTAAAAATAGTCAAAAACAAAGACGGTAAATGGGAACATTTTCGATCTATATTTGTTCTGTCCCGTTTTATGGACGTAATGTTGAAAAGAATCTTCAGGTGGGAACGTCCCAGTGCAGGGAAACTTCATCTTAGGTCCATTTTAGAAACATTTGTAAAGTCTGCAGCACCTCATCAAAAGAGGAAGAATCCCTCCATTCTGCCTTTGTGTCTGCAGCTGATCAAACAGCTGCCGTGTTACATAACAATCTTTTCTACTGTTCGGCTTTAATCTCGACTTTAATCCCACAAAGGACGGCAGATGAGTCAGGTCTCGTGTAAAGCGTCTCCCGTCAGACGGCTGATTCATGAACAGCCGGCGTGGAGCTCTGAATCATGAGCTCAGCGAGTACTCAGACGATGTTAGACGAGATGATTTGTGTAGCACGGTGATAAAAAAGAGGATCAGCTGAGATTAAAGGTCTGTATGGGCGGAGTAAAAGTCTGCGTATAGTATGTGTGTGTTTTAGAGAAATCTGAAAGATCAGGGTTTCCTCAAGTTTTCAGACTTGTTGGCAAATAAACCGAAACGGAGTCAGAACTTACAACTAGAAATGTCACAATATGACACCGCAGACAAAACCCACCCACTCAGGGACGCTGTGCCAGTAGTTTGTGCAGTTTGTAAACACAACATTCACCAACACCTCCTCCTCCTGGGCTCATCAACCCCTGAAGCTCCGCCCCCTGCAGGATGTAGTGTGTACGTTTACTGCTAGTACCTACACTGCGAACTAACGTACCTTAGCATAAGCTAACCGCCGCTGTTTGGCACCTGCCTCCTGCATACTGACTACATTGCAGAAATGGATGAACAGATTGAGCGTTTTGGTACTGAATAGCTGCCACTGAATTTGTGGTAGTAGACAGACTTAAACATAACTTTTGCGTCTTCAGGATGCCGAATAGTGACAAACGTCGGCATTTTCTGACATGAAGCTCTAGCGTAAGTTTAGTCAGGATGCCTATATAATTGCCTTCACGATCAGGTCTTTCTCATTCATCCCTTTTTGCACGCTCACTCACTTTTCCACTGTCATTTTCTGGGGCTGTCATTGGATAATCAGCTGTCTCGTCAGCGGTACTCATCTAACCAATCGCATTGCGTTCCTCCCTCATTTTCAACCTATCATCGGCCTGCTCCCCTTTTAAATCTGATTCTTTCTCTGCCTTAGTTCCTTCATGCTGATATTTCATGCACATTTCCATGTTATTCATTGTAATAAAAACATTTCAGAACAGTCAGTTAGAATCACGGCTTTGGGACATTTTTTTTTCTAAGTTTCTCTACTTTTCCATCCTTTAATCAGTAAAAAACAAAACAGAGATTGTATTGTGTTTTCGTAATTCGTCGTATCCCAAAAAGTATTTGTATTAAGAAGTATGAAAGCCGTAGAAGTTTTCATAGCTGGACGACTGAGATGTGGAAGACAATATATAAACACGTCATGTCACCGTGATGATGAAGGTTTGTGTTTTATTAACTCGTGCAGGATGAGAGTTATATTTGTGCAGTGATCTCATGTGTGTGTCTCAGTGTGTGTATATACAGTATATACTGTATATACTGTATGTAATGTGTGATATTGCACTCACGTGTGCAGCCTGCGTCCCTGCTGGCGTTCCTGCAGGAAAGTGACCTCTTTCCTCTCCTCAGTTTAATGAAGTCATTAAGCTGTGCTCTATCAGCATACGGAGAGTTAAACTCATGGCAGCATGGAGAGCTTTTATAACATACTACGTGATTATTTCTCCAACATGATGATGTTCTGAGACTGTTCTGGGAGGGAGAGGACGTGTTGATAGAGTCGTTCCAGAAGGAGAAATTGAAACAGTTCATTTATCTTATTTCCTTCAGAATGAGACCCGTCAGTATGCTGCTGACAGCGGCTGGCTATTCATTCAAAAACAAAGATGCTCTGAGAGATTGTTGAAAGTGTTGAACTTGGTCTTATGGAAATGGTTGTGTAAAGATGGACATTTTAACATGGAGCTCTATGGGGACTGACTCACTGCAGGAGACAGACTCTAGTGGACACTGGAGGAACTGCAGTTGTTGGCAGAGTACTGCTGCATTTTTCATCTTATCTATAGGAGACATTAAGGAAATATTTCTGGTGTTTATAAGAAAGATAAAAATATGAATCAGATTTATTAAATCATTTCTGACTCACAGGAACTTAGATTAAATTGCAGTAACGACGTCCGAGCATTATAACGAGGTTAAATGTAATGTGCTCTGAATGAACAACCGTCATCATCAACTCGACAGCTGATGAGGTGATTTTTTTTTTTATCTGAGTCATGTTACCCTCATCATCTTCTTCATCACTTCTTCTCCTCTGCCTCTCTCCGCCCATGTGTTCGATACAGTGGTATGATGATGATGATGATGTCATGGTTGTTCCTGCACCCTGACCTCATCATGATGCTTCACAGTCAGGAAGTGCTTATCCTGCTCTGAGCATCATGTTTCAGGGACAGAGAGAAAGAGAGAGAGAGAGAGAGAGAGAGAGAGAGAGAGAGAGAGAGACAGGGGGAGGTAGGGTTGAATAAAGAAAACAGCAGATTCCAGATAAAATAATCCTTAACTGATCTGCAGAGGACAAACTCTGATTGTTTCAGCAAAACAAAGACAAAAACCCTTTGGTAAATATGAAGAATAAAATGAGAATTTCCAGATCATTAATCCATTATTCAGTCCAACCTGGTAAATATGGGCTGGACTATGCTGGGCTGAACTGGGTGACCATCATGAATCCAGTCAGACAGGTCGACTTTATCACCGACTGCTTATTTTGTTCAGCTGCTCCACTGACTGATTTCTCTGTTGCTGCTAAAGCTAAAGCTAATCAATACAGCGCTGAGTCATCCTCCCTGCTGGTTACTGGGTCACTGTGTGTGTGTGTGGGTTTGTGTGTGTGTGAGTGTGTGTGTGTGTGTGTGTGTGTGTGTGTGTGTGTGTGTGGGTTTGTGTGTGTGTGTGTAAAATCTGAACTTTCTAGTTTGAAAAAACATGTATGATATTTTTGTCTTGATAAAGTTTAAAGTTAAAGTGCTCGGCTCTGACTTTTAAGAAGTTCTTACTGAAACCTGCGGACTGCACTCTGAGCGGGAAGCATTTTTTATTCAAAGAAATATATGAATTAAACATTTTATTTGAGTGAATGCCGCGTCTGGTGGTGCTTAAAAAGGATTTAAAGCTACAGAGCACACACACACACACACACACACACACACACACACACACACACACACACACACACACACACACACACACACACACACACACACACGGGACCCCGTGTCATGCAGTGCCACGCTGTGACAGCCTGCATGTCGGAGAGAGAGAGAGAGAGATGAAGTGGGAAAAACGAGTGAAACAAACCAAACAATGGAGGGTTTTTATTTCCATCCTCGTGCAGACTGAAGGAGGCGTGGACAAGATAAACAGAAGTGTCAGACCGCATGTTTGATTCTCCCTCCACATATCAATGACCTCATTCCATTTTTAGTATTTACTTTTAGATAATTGTGTGTTTGACTGCCGGGCAGATACTTTTATTTCTCCTCTTTATATTTGTATGTTTATGACCTTTACCTCTCTCTCTCTCTTTCTCTCTCTCCAGTTTCCTCCAATGAGTCTCGCCCACCCGGATTAGGAACCTGAACCTCTCTAACCCTCTCTGACACCATGAGCATCGTAGCTCTCTCCCCCGCGGCCCCTGAACCCCCCTCCCCGATGGTCACCTCCGTCACCCCGACCCTGGACCCTGACACCTCCACCTCTCCTACAGCTGCTGCTGCAGATGATGATGTCACCACCGCCCTCTTCAGCCCCGACCTGGAGCACCAGACCCACGACGGGGCCTCGTCGCCTGGACCGGGCCCCAGCCGAGGCATGGGGCGAGACCCCTCCAGGAGGTAAACAATCAGTGCTCTGTGGTTCAGCTTGTTATGACGACTGTGGTTTTCAGATCATCGGTAGTAGATAAGAAACAGAAACGATGCAATTTCTAAACACATGGAACAGTTTTAAAATACATAACAATGGAAACACACATGCAAAGATTATTTGCTCCACAACAAAAACAGCATCAGAAAAACGCTGCAGATCCAGCCATCATTACAGAAGTGCTCCAGGCCTGTAGGGGGCGCTCAGTCGGACAGTTTATCATTAAGATTCTTGATTATTTTGCACTGCAGAACATTCCTGTGTTTCTGAATCTGCAGCACGTTTTTCCTGATGTAAATTGTGTCCTGTTGCTTGTTGCAGTCGTAAGTAGATGATGCATATCAGTGATCTAATCCCTGCATTCTTTTAGCTACAGCTAAAGCAACATCTTTGCACACAGAGCAATGCAAGCAACAGGTTCACGGCAGGCTGGTGAAGTTAGCCAAAAAAAAGGACCCCTTCAGGGTTTATTCTGAACCTGGTTTTGTGTCTCTCTCTCCAAAACACTTTGGGCTGCTAGCTGAGCTTCTGCTAACCTTTGCTAGCATACTTAAGCTCCTTCATCCAGAGTCATGATTCAGGTCAAAGTGAGCTGCAAAATGTTCCACTCTCCTCCCTCAGCTACTTTAAGTCTGTTGGCTGTTTGGTGCAGAGCAGTGCAGAGCAGTGAGTCAAATCAGAGCTTGTTTGATGAAAACAGACTTAGTTACGACTGAAGACAAAATCAAGTAAATTAGAGCTTTTAAACTGAACTGAAACTGTGAAGATGCTCATTCTAAATGACTTAAACAGTTAAAACTCAAACTTAGAGAGAGAACAGAGTCAGGAGCTGACTATCCACATTTGTGTTACTGACGCAGCATTTGAAAATAAAACGATAGAGTTTGGAGAAGCTGTAGGCCTTTACATTCGCCTGATGTGCAGAGTGTGTCGTTTCAGGTCAAAGAAACCTCCGCCCCTCCACACTGGAGCCGACTGGAAGGTGGTCCTCCACCTCCCGGAGATCGAGAAGTGGCTGAGAGCGACCAGCGACAGAGTCACACAACTCTCACACTCTGTGGGACAGGACGGAGACAACAGACACGTGGACGTCCACCTGGTGCAGCTCAAGGTACGATCAGCTGCTGCCTAAACCTTACTGAGAGCCCTGACGTCCTTTTAACACCATGAGGGGAACTTTGACATCATCTGGTTTGTTTAGAAAACTCTGAGGCAATCCCATGATGAAGTGCAAGAACCCGCACACATCATCATCCATTTATAGGTTTTACAAAGTGTGCACACAAAAGCTGGATCATTTTTTAGAGACAGGAAAGTAAACCCTGCTTCATCAGTTTGTCTGCTCATGACCTCACTCTATGATCAGACATTAAGGAAACATGATATGTTGAAGTGCTGGCTTCTCTGACAACAATGCAGCAGACAGTATGTCCTCCTTCTAACTTTAGATTCTGCTCCTGAATGCTCTGGATTTGTTTGGACCAGAGATGGTAGGAGGTTTTAAGGCACCCCCACACGGCCGTTTTGGACACCCCTCGGTTTGTCAGATATGAGAGCAGTTATCAGGTCAACAGGTGTTGCAGTGATGGAAGCGGGCAAAGAGAAGTGGTTCAGATAGAAGTGATTGTACCCGACCTAAAAAGCCTCTGCATGTTTCTAATAAGCTCCACGAGCAGAAACGTGCTCAAACTAGGATCAATATTGGAGATGCTTTTGAATAATGGAGAGAGGTTAGAACACAGAAAGGTTTACAGACCGATGCAGAGCTGGATAAACACTGAAGCTTCAGTGTCCACCACATGGCAACCTGCGTGAGCATCGACTCTAGAGAGGAGGGGGGAGACAGCTCAATATTCTATAGGATCGAAACTTGGACCCTAATCGACTATAAATGAACGCTCAATGATTTGAAAAAGATCTCCGCTAGTCAACCCTAATGATGTTCTCCACCAGCAGCATTCAAAGTCAGTCTCACATGCATTTAAGCCTCTCAGCAGCTCAGTGTCACATTCATGAAGACGACAGAACATCAGTCGATTCCACTGTCTGACCTCAGGCTGAAAATTACCCATAATGCCCTCCCCCCTCCCCCACAGCCTCTGTGTTATGTAAGGAGAAGTTTCCACAGGGCGCCCGGTTGACCCTTCTTTTATTTATGTAACTGCAGCCCTCGCAGACACGGAGCAGTCGTCGTCTCGTCCTTCATCGTCCTCCTCCTCTTCATCTCTCCAGTGGATTTTATGTAAGAGAAGGAAACAAGGAGTTTGTTTTCAAAGTGATTAATAATCCAGAGTTTGCCTTCATGTTTAATTCACTGACACGTTTTTAAAGCTGAGGATCTTAAATACCTGCAGAGTCTGAATCATGAAAATGTTATTGTCTTCTAGGACTCGTTCTCGCAGGTTTGCTATTTGCAGAAAGGAGTGTTGTAGTACTCAAAATCGGTCTTGGTCTCAATAGCGGTCAAGAGACCACTTTTCAAAGTTCTCATCTCGTCTGAGAATCCAAAAGCCTTTTTACTTGGTCTTGTCTCGGTCTCAGACTGGGCGGACTCTGGATTATCAAGACCCGGTCAATACCACCACTGATAGGCTATTTTTGCACATCATTACTTCAATATTTAACCTCCCGGTTATGGCCATAACCTTCCCAGTGTTTCAGTCTAAGTGAGTGACACGCCCCCTAAACACATGATGAGGATTTTCCTGTGATATTTATGGTCTTGGTCTTGTCCCGGTCTCGCCCTGCCTTGGTCTTGACTAGGTCTGGATCCCTAATGCCCTCGGTTTGTCTTGGTCTTGCCCTGCCTTGGTCCTGGTTGATTGGTCGAGGACAGAGCGGGTTCAGCTGACAGTTTGGTCCTCACAAAGATAGATGTTCAGAAGCGAACAAACAGGAACATAATGTGACAGCATTAGAATCTGTTTGTTTTTAGATGACATAACTGTATGTGTGTGTGTGTGTGTGTGTGTGTGAGTGTGTGTGTGTGTGAGTGTGTGTGTGTGTGTGTGTGTGTGTGTGACATTGTTACAACTACAGCTTTGTTGTGCAGTTCACTGATGTCACTCAGACTCTGTGTGTATGTCCTTATGTGTGTGTGTTTGTGTTTTTTTGAACCACTCAGTCAAATACTGAAGCTTCTGTTCTCAAAATCCTCCACACCAGAACCTTCAGCCAGGGGCGGGGCCAGAGGGTGCTCTAGAAATCTGATGGCCACCCCAAAATCCTGAACTATGATTGGCTACTGGTCTTGTCAGAGGCGGGACTAGTGTTTGAATCAACTTTTGTTTTTACTTTTCTTATTTCAGAGATAGGACAGTGGATCGAGTCAGAAACCAGAGAGAGAGAGAGAGAGAGAGAGAGTGGGGAATGACATGCAGGAAAGGTGCCACATGTCGGATTCAAACCCGGGTCACCCGCCTGAAAGACTATAGCATCCGTACACTAACCAAACAGTGTCATATATACATTTTTTCCCCTGTTGCATTTCCTTGAAACGTCAAGCTGTCGGGTTTGTTTCACTGCTGCACGGTGATTGTTCATGGAGTCAGAGAGACCGGCCCACAAACCTTTGATTGACAGCTCGTGTTAGTGCACGCCCCATGTACAGAGGCTGTAGTCCTCCAGACGGGCGGCCCGAGTTTGAATCCGGCCTGTGGCACCCACATGTCAAACCACACTGTTCAATTAAACACACAACTGAAGGTGACTCTAAATGCAGTGCAGTGAAATATTCACACCTCAGAAGGATGTTTGTAGATGTATGATGCTTTATAAAGTATGAGGATGCCTCTCATGAGTTCCTAAATTCTCCTCTTTGTAACATGCGCTGTCGGCTCGGCCTCTTCTTCTGCAGAGAGAAGCTTTACTCTTTTAGGATGAGAGCACCTTGTTATGCCCTCTGGTGGCCAAAACATCTCACAACATGCTGAAGAAGCAGGAGAAGGTCTTTCACACAATAAACACCTGGAATAGTTCATTTTCTCTCTGCTGAAAGTAGGTCGTGGTCCTGACTCGGTCTTGATCCCTAAATGTCTTGGTTTTGACTCGGTCTCGATCACTCTGGTCTCTGTCCCGGTTAGCGTGGTCTTGACTTTAAGCATTAAACATAATATGTAAAGATGGAGCCCGAGTTATAAAGAAAATGACAGAAGTCCTCTTTACATGGCCTGAAACGTTGTTGGATTCCAGTGTTGTCATGACAACAGTCTGTCATCTCCTCATCTAAGAGACTTATCAGTGTGTCAGAGCAGCGTCGAGAGACAAATCAGAGACAGATTGAAGCCTGATGTTAACGTGAGAAGACGCTTCAGTCCGATCGCAGCTGGAGGACGAACCAGAAGCAGACGTGACGCCTTCTGTTTGTGTCCACGCTGCATGTTCTCTGACACCTCGCTCGTTTCATGTTGGTGTCAGATCCGAACCTGCAGACAAACTTTAACTCACACACTTCAGTCAGGATCGATGAGGGAGGGGCAGATCTCTGACCGTGACGATATACATCACAACAAAGCAAGAGGGAAAGGGTCTAACGAGCAAATGGGGTTTCACAACTCCACTTTCTTCTGGTGCCACTTATATGTATGCATAAAACCTGAAGTATAGATTGCGGGCTGTCGCCGCACAGCGAGGAGGTTCCTGGTTTCCCCGACGGAATCCCCGTCTGACAGGAACCTCTCTGTGCGGAGTCTGCATGTGTGGGTTCTCTCCGGGTTCTCCGGCTTCCTCCCACAGTCCAAAGACATGCTCGTTAGGTTAACTGCTGACTCTAAATTACCTATAGGTGTGAATGTGAGTGTGGCTGGTTGTCTGTCTCTATATGTCAGCCCTGTGATTGGCTGGTGTGTAACCCGCCTCTTTAAGGTCCTGGATGACTTTCTGTCAATGTTCATTTGACCCCTGTGTGTGTGTGTGTGTGTGTGTGTGTGTGTGTGTGTGTGTGTGTGTGTGTGTGTGTGTGTGTGTGTGTGTGTGTGTGTGTGTGTGTGTGTGTGTGTGTGTGTGTGTGTGAGTGTGAGAGAGAAACCTGGTTAAATAAAAACAGTAAAAGACTGTAGGACAGACTGTTCATTATCTGGGGGACAGCTCCCTCTAGTGGTGAGTTCTTGGTATTACACTGGAGTCGGGCTTTACAGTATTACCCTCAGTGCTCTGGTGTCTGTTTACACTGTTTAAGATATGAAGGGAACTACAGCTGCTTCTTAAGAAATTAGAATATCAAGAAGAGTTTATTTTCTCCCTAATTTAATAGACATGTAAAGTGAAATATTTCAAACCTTTCTTTTTATTTGATTCTTGATGATTACGGCTTATCGCTCATGAAAATCAAAAACCCAGAACCTCGAAATATTAGAATATTACGTTAGACTAATTAAGAAAATGATTTGCAATACAGAAATGTCGACCCGAAGTAGAAGGAGTGTAACTGATTGAGGGATTGAGTGTGTCCAGTAAAAGTTGTGGTTTTTGTCCCTGACAGGCTGAGATTGTTTTTCTAAGAGTGTTCCGGTCATCCCTCTTCTCCTCATGCTGTACTCACTGCTCTTTTCTCACTGTGTTGTTATCTTTTATACTCTCCTCCTCCCATCCTCCTGTCCTCATCCTGTCCTCCTCTCCTCCTTCTGTGTCCCTCACTTCCTACCCTCCTCCTCCCTCCTCTCTTCCTCTCCTCTTCCTCCCCTCATCCTGTCCTCATCCTACAATTCAATTCTACAATTCTACAATTCACTTAGCAGACACTTTTTTACAAAGCGACGTACATCAGAGAGTAAGTACAACACAAGCAAGGATCTAGAAAAAAAGGGAACAATGTCAGTAAGAGCAAACGATCAGCTTTGAGTCTGATTGGACACACAGGTGCTGACAGGAAGTGACCAGAGGCAAAGCACAACATTGACGGCAGTTCTTGAGAGCTCTAATCAGTATAGAAACCATCTTATAAGTCATCGTTATCAAACAAAAACCATCGTCACAACCATCATCATCATCAATAATATGGAGACCATCATCATTAAGTTAGTAGGTTTTCATAAAGAGCTGGGTCTTTAGCTTTTCCTTAAAGGTGCAGAGGGACTCTGCAGATCGAATGGAGTTTGGAAGTTCATTCCACCA